TACAAGCATTCAAAACGTTTCAAAATATACCCCGTTCAAATCGCGTGTTTCATCAAACCCATGTAATGAGTTTGAAAACTATTGTAATGATACAAGTAAGCTAGATGGCGGCAATAATAGCAACATATTACTTTAGTGGAAATCTCGATCTGACAAATATCCAAACCTATCCAGAATGGCCAGAGATTACCTGGCCATTCCTGCTACATCTGTATCATCAGAAAGGCTCTTCTCATTAGGAAAAAATCTTATTACTGACAAAAGAAATCTTCTCTCTGCAGATACCATTCAAGCTTGCCAGTGCTTGAAGTCTTGGTTGGATTAAAAAGAATAAAAGAAGCTGTAATGTGTGAGAAATAGTAACAAATGCTGTAATATGAATAAAATTTATAGATTCAGATAACTAAAATTAATAAATGAAATAAGTTAAATAACGTTCAAATATACATCAAATCTTGAAAAGATTTGAATTTGATCTAAATTCAAAATAGGAAGATTTGAATTTGGCCATTTCAAACATTTGACGCATATTTGATCAAACTATTTGAATTTGTGCCGAACACTACTGGTGATGATATTAAGGTTAGATTTTATAAAATTAAATTCTTAAAAAATTTACGTTTGCTTTTTTTTAGTTTTTATTTCAACAACTTTTTTTGTACAAAATGTTTAAAAATGAATAACAATACCTTGATTGTTATTTTAATTTTAGTGCCAAAGCTAATCATATATTGTTGGTTTTAAATTCTAACTTATCATTATTTTCAGTTTTTAAGTTTGTATTTATCTTAATATAATGAAGTTTTACATTAACTTATGGGCTGTTTAAATAAAATGTGTTTGATTGTAAGTTGCAAGTTTTTCCATCATGGCTGATTTTGCAATCAATGTGTTTGATTGTAAGTTGCAAGTTTTTCCATCATGGCATGACATAAGTTTCAAAGTGGAGGGGCACAACCATCAATTTCTTTAAAAAGTCCTCTATATCTAAAATAGGCGATAAGATTTTAACTCAATTCATTAAATGTAATGAATTAAGGGAAAATATGTAATTACTGTAAGTAAAGTGATAGAAATTAGAGTGAGCAGTGGAAAATACTTAACTACATCTACACATATAAGAGACATCTAAATGTTTTTAGTTTAATATATATATATATATCTTATTGATCTTATTGAATTTTTAAATTTTGTTTGTAAATAAATAAATTTGCTAATAAATACCAATTTTTTTTCCCTTTTAACATTAATAAAAATTAATACTAAGTTATGATTCTAAACAAATTTTGTTGAAAAGTTATAAATTTTGTTTTCACACTCAAAATCTTTTTTCACCATCAAAATTCAAGTCAGCAAAACATGCAAAATAAAAATGATTTAAGAGCTACTGTGACAGTGTTTATGATTCTCCTTGCCAAAATAATATTATATTCTGATTTAAGATTTTGTGAATATTTCTATTTGCAGTTAATAATAATCTAATCAACAGTTATTCATAGGTGCAATGTAGGATACGCTTTTTTAGGCAAAGACTAGAAAAGGCAACTCAGACTAAAAAAAATCAACACAGACTAAAAAAAATCAACACCCACTACCTTAGGGCTCTTGGTTGAGTAAAAGTCTCTATAAAAATACTCATCTTGGACAGATGTTAAATGCATCCGGCTACTGTCTTGTAGAGGGCCTCCTTGGCAAAGAATTACGGGGTAAACAGATTCTATCTGTTGACTAGCCTCGCTTAGGGGTTTTAGGGGTGCGAGGCTAGTCAACAACATCTATTAGGCTGGTGCAGATGCATTTTTAATTGCTTATTATTTCATTGCATCCAGTTTAGGATGTTGAACACTGGATCTTCTCGACTCAATGCATGGTTTTTGCTGTGTCTTTGTTTTTATGACTAGGCAACTCATTATATTATCTCCTAATGAGGGTAGAGCTCTAAAACTCAGTTTTATGGTTCTGAGGCCGGGTGGTAGTCAGGTTTCCCAAACTCTGTGGTAGGGATTGTCCATAAATTACGTCACACAGTTTTTGACAACTTTTGACCTCCCCTCCCCCTCGTCACAAAATTGTAACACTTAAGAAGCAAGTTTTGTATGAGTCGTCACATAACCACCAAACGCCCCTCCCCCTTATAACGTGACGTAATTTATGGATAAGCTAGTAGCTCTCAGAGAGGCTGATTCCATCAACAGGTAAAAAATATCAGAGTACTAATAGTACCATGTTACGCATGGATGGTGTCCCTGTTCATACTTTTGATATTTGCATTGCTTTGGAGCCTTTTGTTACAGCTTAGGGTTAATGAATAGTAATGAGGCATTTGCTTGGACTATTAAATAGTGTACTGAGTACTATCTATGCTTTGAGTCAAGTTCTTTAACAAACCTAAAAATGAACAATGTACCAAAAAATATAAAGTACCAAAAACTATAAAACACAAAAAACCATTGCCAACACCAAGTTCTTTAAACCTATCATTCACAAATATTTGTGGTCTTTGAAGTAACTTTTCTTCTGTCGAGTCTTATCTCTTGCAAAATTTACCAGACCTACTTGCTCTTTGTGAGACTAATTTAGCTTAGCTGTCTTATCTTGTGATCTTAGTGTTGATGGTTATTTTCCTTTAATTCATAAAGACTCCAATAGTCACATGCTTGGCCTGGGCATTTACATTTGTAAGACTTCACCCATTTGTCAGAAATTAGGTTTGAATCAACAGACTATTCTTTTATGTGCTTTCGTTTAGCACCACTTCACTCAATTTTCTTTCTCTTTGTTCTATATGGCTTTCCTTCATCTCAAGACTGCACTCTTTTTAATGTTACTTCTGATCAAACTGACCAAGCCCTCCCTCTTTATTCATCAGCCAAGATTGTTGTTGTTGGTGACTTTAACGCTCATCACACTGATGAGCATTAAAGTCACAGAATGACTCGGCTCTAGTGTCAGTGACTCTGCTGGCATTAAAGCCCTCAACTTTTGCTTTTCTCAATCTCTAACTTAAATAGTCAACTTTCCAACTCACATTTCAGACAAACTAAACCATTAACCTTCTCTACTCAACCTATGTCTTGTTTCTGATCCAACTTAGTGCTTAGTTTATATAAATTCACCTTTGGTGCTTTTGATCACGGTTTGAACTCCCTAAAACTATTATCTCATTCTTTTTCATCATCAGAAGCTCCCTATCATTGTAGCTCTTACAACTACCTTAAAACTGACTGGGACTCTTTCTGTGATTTTTTGTGATGGCCCTTGGGTAAAAATCTTGTATGGTTCAGACTTTGTCACCTCACCTAAAGACATAACTGAATTGTTTGCTAAGAACTTATAATCAATATCATCTCTTGAGTCTGTTCTGGACGCGTTCTATCTGATATAGCCATCAATCAGGTTGATCCATTGCTTGACATTCGTATCACTCCAGCTTCTGTATCTAAAGTGATTTCTTGCTTACACTCTTCTATAGCTTGTGGTCCAGACAGCATATCTGTTTTAGTCTTGCAGAAGTGTTTTCTGGAGCTGTCATTCATACTTTCAAAACTATTTAACAAGTGCTTATCAGAGTCTTGTTTTCCCACATGCTGGAAAGCAGCATCTGTTATCCTTACTTTCAAAAGTTCTGGAAAGCTATCTGACTCATCTAACTACCGTCCCATTATTCTTCTTCCTATCATAAGCAAGGTTTTTGAATCTTTAATTAACAAAGATAGATAAAACCCAACTTTTTTCAGCCAATCGTTATCGCAATAACTTAGATCTTCCTATATTTATGAACGGTAATATACTCAATGAGTCATCTACCCTTTATCTTCAGAATTAACTCTTGCTTTTGATTTTTCTTGGAAACTATATATCAATTCCATTGCAAAATTAGCACCAGCTAAGGTTGCACCCTTATTGTGTTTGACACTTTTTTACTCCAGATTCTATTCTATATCTCTATAAACCTCAAATCCATATTTGTATGGAATACTGTTGCCATATCTGGGATGGATCTTTTGATGCTTTTTCTCTGTTAGAGTAGGCGCAAAAACCCATTTGTTTCAAACATAGTTGGACCTGCTCTCGCAGACAAATTCTAACCATTATCACATCATCGTAAGGTTGCTACCCTTTTTTTCCCTACAAATACTATAATGGGCAATGCTCTAAAGAGCAAGCATCTTTTGAATCAAATACTAAAATTCATTCTCGTGTTTCCCGTCATTCAATTAAATCTCATCCTTTCTCTGCGACTGTTCCTCAAATTGCTCTAAAAACTCTTATTTATCTAGCTTTTTCATTGATCATCAGCTCTTTGAAATTCGCTTCCTTTATCTTGCTTTCCTGACTCATATAATTTGCAACTTTTTAAGCCATCTGCCAATCATTATCTTGCTCTAAAAACTTTATCTTTTCTCTTCCAGTAACTTCTAACTCTAATAATGGTTGCTTACAGACTTGTTGGAAGCAAAGATGTTAATAATAAAAAAGAAACTTCTTCAGTTCTATTTAAGTGCTCTAACAACTATCATAAGTTTACTTTGTCTACTGTTAAAATATATTTTTAACTTAGTAAACTTGAATTATTTAAACTTTACTCTGTCGATCATTAGCTAATGGCTTAAAAAAAAATTGGTTTATTGCTGTCAAGATAAGAATAATTTTATTTTCTGGTCAAATTACAAAACTTATTTTCATCGAGAGCTTTTATGTTTTTGTCATTTTGTGTAATGGCTAATTGTTTTTGCAATATATGGCTTTTCTTACAGATTTTCACTATTTTCAACAATCAATAATAATTTAGTAAAAACACTTATCTATTTTTTGTGCTCTTCAACAGTATGTTTCACCAACAGTAGGTTTATCAGGAAGCCTACTGATGGTGGATGCTTCCTGATGAATCTACAGATGGTGAAACATGCTGTTGAAAAGCACAAAAGTTAGATAAGTGTTTTTACTAAATTTTATATATATATATATAAAAGAGATATAAAAATACTTTGATAATATACCTTGTTAGGCAATCTCCAATATCGCTATCCTGATCATTGATATCTAAATATTCGTCATTCATATTTAACTATAATCGTTACTTTTTTTTTCTACAACTATAACTTCAACATACTTGAGTTTTATAAAAAGTAAATTAGACTGTTACAAGTCAATTTACCGTCATTAACGATGAAACACGTTTTATTTTAAACGCGCTTTATGTTTTTGATCTTATCAAAATCATAAAGCGCGTTTCATTTCAGATTAAAAAAATAAAGCCCGTTTAAAATAAAACGTGTTTTATCGTTAATTTAAAGTTATTTGTTTTTATTTTTGTTTTTTTCCCGTCTTCTTATTTTTCTTGTTTTTAACATTTTTTGTTTTTGAATTTGTTACACTAAAAAAAAATGAGTTTTGTTTTTATTGAATTTTTATTCTATTTTAAAAAATTAAATTTTCTTAATAATGAGTGACTATAGGGGCTCTATAAAAAGGTTGTGATGTTAAACACATCATCCTTACCTTCTTTGAGTCCCTGACTGATTAGAACAGAATATACATAAAATAAAATAAAAAATTATGAAATAACGTTTTTTATCATGTTTATCTTTACGACGTGTATTTTATGTATTTTTTACATGATTATACGAAAATTGTTATTGTAACTGTTTAATCAGCAAAATAAAAGTATATATAATAATAGTAATATATTACTATTATTATATATACTTTTATTTTGCTGATTAAACAGTTACAATAACAATTTTCATATAATCATGTAAAAAATACATTACTATAGTATATATAATAATATATTACTATTATTATATATACTTTTATTTTGCTGATTAAACAGTTACAATAACAATTTTCATATAATCATGTAAAAAATACATAAAATACACGTCGTAAAGATAACCATGATAAAAAACGTTATTTCATAATTTTTTATTTTATATTATGTATATTCTGTTCTAATCAGTCAGGGACTCAAAGAAGGTAAGGATGATGTGTTTAACATCACAACCTTTTCATGGAGCCCCTATAGTCACTCATTATAAAGAAAATTTAATTTTTTAAAATAGAATAAAAATTCGATAAAAACAAAACTCATATTTTTTTAGTGTAATAAATTCAAAAACAAAAAATGTTAAAAACAAGAAAAATAAGAAGACGGGAAAAAAACAAAAATAAAAACAAATACTGTAAATTAAAAAAATATATATGTCAGGAATTAAGAAGATGCATTTTAGTTTCCCGTTTAAACGATGAAATGCTTTTTAGGTCTTAAATAATTTTATTTTGGAAATGATTCCATGTTGATGGGCCACATGTTTCGCGAAAGAATACTATTTTGGTAAATTTTTTTCGGCGCTAGCATGTTTAGTATGTAATAAATCTGTTTTAAAGTGGAGAGAATGTATTTTAATGAGGTACCATGATTCATAACATTTTTAAAACTTAACCAGTTTCTTTTTTTTTTTTTTTTAATTATTATCTTTTTTTTTTTGCCGTTTAATAAAATTTACAATGAGGAAGATCATACATATATAAAAAATGGCAGGAGCAAGAAGAAGACATAAACTGTCTTATCACTAAGCCCCGTTTACATTGATGTCACTAAGTTACAAGTTAAAAATTATAAAGTTAAAAATAAAATACAATATTAGTTCTATATACATATAAAACACAAGTAATAAACCGTAAAATTTTTTTTTATTTTTTTGTTTTGTTTGTTTGTTTGAAATTAATAGTATTTATATTTTATTTATATGAGAAATAAATAAGATACACATCAAGACAACAATAAATTAGTAGTGATGACTTTTTCAGGTTTAATTATTTTAGGAACTTTTAAAAGAAAGATTAAAATAAATTTTGAAGTTTTTTTCTAATAGAAAACATTTAGATTCTCTTTTGAATTGTTCTAAGAAGATGTTCTTAGAAATGTTCTTAGAAGAATTTAATCTTTAATAATGCTTTTTTAAAAACTTTTCCATATAAATAGTCCACGGTATTGAATTTGAAATGAATAGAGTTTTGAATAAGATCTTGGAATAACAAAATTATCAGATGGGTATTAATGAGATATTTCTGCAAAGTAAGAGTGAAGTATATTAGGAGATAACGCATGTTTTGATTTAAACGTAAAAAAAATAACTTGGTATATATTAAGATTATAAACATTAAGCACATTAGGTTTCTTTAAAAGAGATTTATCAATAACAGTTCTGTTAACGCCAAATATAATCTTGCATGAATGTTTTTGTTTGCTTTAAATTTTTTTGAGCTTCCCATAATTGGTACTTCCCCATGCAAGATTACAATAGAAAAGATAACTATGAATAGGGAAAGTTGGGGTACAGTGGATTGAGGAGCACAGTGAATAAGAAGCATTTTCTCAAAGATTATGATTTTGTTCATCACGATGATGTAACCAGTTTATGTGAGCATATATCACCCATCTTTATTTATAGGTATTACCATATAATTTTTGACTCTAGGTTTTTGGTAGTTAATTTATGTTTTTAACTAACTAAAATAAATGTTCTTACCATCTTTATGTTTGTTGTAGAGATCATGGTTAAAATCATTTTATAAGTTAAAGTTTTATATTCGGAATACTGATATTTATGCTATATTTTAGTAGTTTAGCTTTTCCTTTAATAACACTCATGTCCCAAGAAATTAAACTTGAACCTTATTTTTTATGGTGGGGCACAATGAAACGGGGTACCGTGAATCGGTTGATTCACTCTGATAAAAATGTTTATAAAAATTAAAATGTTTATAAAAATGAAAAAATTCACTTTTAAAAATTTCTTTTGTTGTTGGTTAAATAAGTTTTATTAGGTAAAATTTGTTTTTGTGATTTTAGATGGTTGAAAAAGTTTTGTTATCAATAAAATTTATTCTATATTTTTTCAATCAGAAAAAATTTAAATTATTTTAAGTAATTAATTTTAATTAATTACTTAAAATTAAATAATTTAAATTAAATTAATTCAAGTAAAAGTAACTTTCTTTTACTTAAATTAATTTAATTTAAGTAAAAGAAAGAAATCCGACCCACTGTGCCCCAACTCTCCCTAAATGAAAAGTATATAACTTTCAAAGACTCCGTGTTAAGAAAAGGTTTAACTTTATATAGCATTGAAGTATTTTTGGAGATTTTATTTTCAATAGGTTTAATATGATATTTCAATAATATATTTTCATCTATAATCACTCCTAGAAAACTAACATTAGACTTTCTTTTGATATTTTTTTTGTTCATAAAGATTTTTTCGTCAAGTTAGGGAAATATAAAACAATCAAATTTATAATTAGTTGGTTGGACAACAAGATTTCTTAAAAAAGGCCAATATCATAACAGTAAATGCTATTGTTACAAGCTATGAAATTAGTCCTCTTTAGTTACAAATTCTAAACCATTCAGTGACGGGGAAATATTATTTAAATTAACGAATAATTCACACACACACCTTCCTCGATGCATCATTTGTGCATTTAGTCGGCAAAAATAACCCTTTTAAAGAAGTCGGTAAATGTAGACTTTTTAGACAGGTTAGTGGTCGAATTTTAAAAAACAAGGACCTAATTTTTTACTCAACAAAAATTTTAATGACACCCCACACGTCACACCTACACCACACTTTCACCTGCCCTGATGGCAGCTCAATAATTGGATATTGGTGTTTTTTCCAGAATTTAAAAGAATATAGCAGAAAACATATTGTCATTAATTAAGCTATTTGTAAAAAAGTTCATCAGATAAAAAAAATAGAATACAAATGCTTTGAATTACTAAGATTTATAAAATACACTTTTACTAAAATATAATTTAATTAAGAAATGTTTTTGATTACTTGTTTTCTTTAATAAAAACTAGCTACTTCAATAGGCTCGGCGCAAGCCTGTTCCGTAGCTCTGTATCTATTAAACCGGTTGAACTAAATAAGCATTCTGATGGCATGGATGTCGCTTGAACTGAAAATATTATCCGTGCAATTTGTGTCAAAACCGGGAACAATTTTTGATTAGCTTGGAAAAATTTAATGGCACTATTTCCGTAGCACTGAGAGTATTGCAGACTGTAATCATTTATTTCATTTTCAAGTTTATCATTGCTCTCAATCAAATTACAACAAGATTTATCTGTTACTAGTTCAATTAAGTTGATTGACTTTCGTCTTTTGTTGTTAACTAAAATAATATTATTTGCAATAGGTGGCGTTGACGATTGCTGAAATATTTTTATGGTATTGTCAGCTGAGCTGTTTGACGAGTTCAAAGTGTTATTTAAAAAATTTGTTTCAGTTGTTATATCGATCTCTTCGGATTCTATTAGATGCATTTCATAAAATGTTTTTATAAACATTTTTGCTTTTGAAATACATTCATATCTATAGATATCATTTTTGATAAACTCGAATTTACGAAATTTGAAATCAAGAAAGTAGCTGCTAAGAGAAAATCATTAGCAAAAATGTATTTAAAACGTCCTTTTAGAGACCTTAATAATTCCTTTTAAAAAGCCTTAACTAGTTCTGTAAAAATACGTTGCGATTCAAGTATTCCATTTAGTAGAGAATACAGTGTTAGAAACACAAATGTTACTATAACATATTTCTTTCCGCTAAAAAGTTTTGTTAGCTCTTTAATTGGGTGTAACAAATCACACAAATTCTCCAGCACCTTAAATTCAGCACCTTAAATTTTGGAATTCGATGCTTATCATATCCAATGCAGTTTTATTTGTTAATATAATGATTCAATAATATCGAATTGGCTATTCTAGAGAATAGCTATCATATACTAACTTTATTTTTGTTTCATAACGAAGTGTATTTTTAACTTTTTTTAACTTTTTTTTTAACATCTCTGAATGCTTAAATGAACCAATATTGTGCCTGCAGGATGAAATTACCTTGGCAATTTCTAATCTGCCTTCGTTAATTTTTTCAATTTTATTAGCTTCACTTTCTGTAATTTCTCTTTAACTAATTTTCCATTACCGTCGTAATCTTTTACTTTGTAATGCTTTGACCCATTTTCAAATTTTTTTACTTTTATATCTCTCGCGTTTAGAAGATCATTAATTACGAGATTCAAACAATGACCGGCACACGGAATCACACATTATCATCAAGTATATTTACTGCAGAGAAAAT